ATGCCGACTTGTACTAGCACGGGAGAAGAAGCACACGGTGGAAAAACGGGCTCAGCTCGCCAGTTCTATTGCTGTCCCCATAATTACGTTTAGCACGGCACTGTTGACCTCCTCCCGCCGTGGTTACCAGGCTGCACAGCTTGATTATTGACTCTGTCTGGGGCGTCCGTGATGGCAAGCTGTCCCGACCGTGGGTACCTTCTGAGATAGCTTCCTTACCAATCAGGGGGTCTAGCGGTGCCTTGAATTCGGACGGAATTGATGACTATGACAGCTACGACAGTTGGACAATGGGCAGCTACTATTTCTTCGAGGGACTTACTACTTGGTGATTATTTGTGGGGATCGAGCGGTTCAGGTCCGGCTTACATCACGCCTTGTTGGACGGAAGACAAGCATCCTCGATATCGAGCGACTCTATGGCAAACCGGGTCCGACATTGTTAGAATTTCTGCGGCTCGGCACGCTCGTCAAGGCGCGGTCAGGGAAGTCTGCAGACGTGCCGTCTCTTTAACATCGAGAGCTGCAGTAGCCTAAATTGACGACGGTAGTGTCACCGTTGACATTTGGCAGGTGCTTGATGATCGACTGCGCGCCGGGATGCGTGCTGAAGTTGCGGCGTCGGGCGCTGTGATCACCGATGGCTTGTCCACGCCACGCTCAAGGATGCGTCATGGATGCGTCATCGACGGGGTACGGCTTACACATTGAACGGAGCCGCCTTTGCCCTGAGTTGACTTACCTTGGCGAGGCAATGTCTTGGACGACTTTTCAGACTGGCATTGTCTCGTTCTCTCCCACGCGTGACATGGCGACCCAGTCTATGGCGAAGAGACGGCATTTCGGGTCCTTCTGCCTCGCGCTTCTTTACAATATCCCGTCTCTGGTTTATCGGGCGCTGAAACCTGGGTCTCTAATTTCGTACTCAGCGAAGGTGCACCAATTCCATGACTGGCTTCTCACTGGTGAAGGTACATCTCTCCGGCATTTCGATACCGGCATGGACTGTGGGGTGCACCCAGTCTCGTCGATGAAGGAGTGCGATATCTCCGCTTCCTCGGCCAGTGGGACTCCTGTCCACTTTGACGCGCATCCGATGCTCACGCGGGTTGTCCACATGTGGGCCAGTCATCGCCGGTGACGGCCACAACGACTGAAACTCAAACAGCTTGCCTCCCGACAGTGCTATATTGAACGAACTAGACTTCTCGAGGAACGGGTTCAAAGGCGGACTTTCACGTGATATCGGAAGGTTCACCATTGATCACGTGGAGAAACATTCGACAAATTCGTGCGCCCTTTCCTACCAACGCTCAGACGATATATCGACTAAAGAGTAACAGTAATCGCTATGGAATTGGGCGAAGCAAGATCTGTCGTGCCTTGTCCCTGCGTGTGTGGATGCTGGTCCAGCTCTGGCAATCCATATCTTTTGGGAGTGCCCTAGCGCGCCGACACTGGGACTATCTCCTTGATCGGTGGCGATGGCTTGGTACTTTCCACGAGGATGACTTGCATGTCTGGTTGTTTGGACTGGACCTCCCGGGGATTCCGCCCAACGCCTGGGTTGTTGTCAAGCAAAAAAAGAACAGGGGCAGATTTGTTGAAATCTCAGGCTGCGGTCTTCCCGGAAGCTCGAGAACTGTGGCGTTTTGTCGTATCGACGACATTTCATGCCATCTGGGTCGAGCGCCTCTGCCGAATGTAAGACTCTTCTCTATCACAGGATGGTCACACAGCTAGGACCAACACTATCTATTGCCGGTCGGTTCAAAGGTTTCGTGGATCAACCTACCAGACCGACATGGATGAGGACGGGTAACTATATAAGCAGGTACGGTCGGCCTTGGCTGATATCCTCCTCTGCTACGACAAACCTCCTTTACTGCACGTACGCCCTATCGAACGGTGCCCAGGAGTGCTCTACCTTCTCTTTTTCGATGGAGGGTCCCGCGGAAATCCAGGTCCAGGTGGATCTGGATCTGTTATTGTCTGACTACACGTTCCGACGCACGCCGCATGCGTTTTGTGGGTAGCGAGTGTGGCTTATGCCGCTGCCGATACTACTAACAATATCGCTGAATACTGGGGGCTCGTACACGGTCTTCGTCGCGCAAAGGCCAGCGACTACTTACCCCTGCATGTCATTAGAGACAGCTCGCTTGTGCTTTCGCAAATCCGAACACAACACCCTCCACGCAAGCAGCACTTGGTGCAGTTATATACCGAAGCAAGCGCCATCGCTAACGATATCCATGTCTCCAGCTGGGGACATCATTATCGCACCTACAACAAAATGGCGGATCGAATGGCGAAAATCGCTATGGATACAGGGGCTTCAATTCGTTCAAACTTCTTCTAACCCCGATATAGTCCAGGAGGCCACGACCTTCCTCGATTCTGTTGTCAATCATAGGTTGGAGACCTCTCGAGCCGACCAATACGTCATACAGGGCCCCGTACTGGAACCGAGGAACCTGATCATCTCGCGACAGGAGGCTACGCGCAGCCGTTCTGCTGCCCGAGACCTAGTTCTACCTAGTATATAAAGTAGCAGTCACCCCGGTAACCTTGTTTCCGGATGACAGGACATAATAGGTCGTCCGCGTACCTAAATATCCCTCACTTTTTTCACCTCACCTCTATACCCTTACGAGGTCGTGAGAGCTGATGTAAGAAGATTTAACGGGTGGTATGCGGGAGTTTTAGTGCGTGATGGTGACGTTCAATGAAAGGAACCTTGATAGTATAAACGATGGCCATGCTTTTGCTCAATCGACAACATCACTAGCTGCTGTACCATCGAGTAAATGTATGATAGAGAACAGTAGCTCAAGAACCACTTTGAATAATTGACGACTTTACTTCATCGATTCTGGTGAAGCAGTTGCTATATGAGTGACACTCGTTGTACGGAAACCCGTACATTTTGACTCGTGACATGAGCGATTGTATTGAGCATCAACCTTAGTACTTCTTCTGATTCGGCTATATTGATGTATCTGCCCACGGCCATTTCAATATTGACCCTCTACCTTCTATAGCAAATCGCCTGTGCCATCCACACGATACACTTCGTGACACCGACGCTCAACACTGTAGTCGTATCACGTGAGAAAGCAATAGGTTGAGTAACGAGTAACGGTATGGGTACAAGTACTTGGCTGTACTATTCTGTGCATCTGCCATAGCTACGGGCATCGAGGATGATGGCCGATACATGTACACTGCTTCATCTTCGCGCTGCTTCATCTTCGCGCTGATTCATCTTCACGCTACGTGTGCTTACGCATTCGTCGTCGTCGCTTCACAGTTGTGTGTGATTGCCATTTGGCAGTATTAGCTCTCTAGCGCGTCGAGGGCGTCTTTACTCACGTCACACAGCTATCCTGACAGTCGTGTGAGGCTGTTTATGTTGACATTGATGTAGACATGCTATTTGACGCGCTCAGGATTTTGAGTACCGCGTAGGAGGTGATAAGATGCGAGGATGGATGGAGATGAGTTCGAAGGAGCTTAGCAATCGCTTCATTCGACCAAAAGTTATTCGATAGGAGTATTGAGTGAATGATAGTGATGGCTCTCATCCGCAACTCCCTTGTTTCACAAATGTCACATGTTGTTATGTATCCGACATGTCCGGTAACACGTTCACCGCGACACGCTGTTTCTTGTGAGGATGCACACTCAACACACGTTCAGATCGGTACCATACTACGCCTATCATATAGTTGTACTACCAGTGATGCACATCGATGCTACTCGACGCACAAAGAGGGGGAACAAGGCGCCGCTGATCCGACGAACAAAGAGCAGCTTCTTTTGACTCGGACAAGCCTGAAAACTTGTGGAACTGCAGTTGTGTACCACGTTGATACTACAGTCTGTACAGTTTGCACAAGGATGTACAAACGGCGTTTGCAGACATAGCAATATGTGTGAGCAATCGATACATGCACCTCAATATGATCAAATGGGCAGTCTATTCGGTGTACGGTGTGAGAGTTGTGAGACGCGCATAGCGTACATTTGTGCCGAAAGACGTTCGTGCTTTAGGAAGTATTCAGCAGAGCAATGTTGCGTCCCAATCTTCAGCAAAATGTCCATCACAACAATAGCAACTAGCACATCGGGGCCCTCGCGCTTGTAAGTGCGAACAAGTTGAAGGCCGTATAGCTGCAACTCAGCCTCACATACCCAAAAGCCCGATCTATCGACGAAGTTTTGCCGACAATTGGATCGAGTGCGTATCGACTCGCAAATGTTCATATCGAATATGACATGAGTGAGTGAGCTTCATTGAGGCACGTCATAGATCTCTAATGGCAGGTTGGGGGTTTACACCGCCATTCAAAAAGTGGGGGTCATTATCCTAGTCTCCAGCCGGGACAATGAACATGATATGACTCCACACTGTATGACCAGCACCTCACGAGTACTTGTAGAATGCAGTAGACCAAAGGGCGGAGACGATGGCGCGTGACGGCAACGACGACAATGGCAAAACCTCATGCTTTTACAATACGCAGATTGTCCATTTGCGCGATCGTTGAACCCACTATGATCGGTGCTCAATCGCTGCGATCATAAGATCATATCGACGATATCGACACAGATGTGGGCACGATCTGTTCAGATCATACTAAATATTGCAAGTCATGAGAGCAACGGCTTAAGTGGCACAAGCGCACTAACCTACCAGCGGTCAGGTCATTTATTCACTTGTGCAGTCCTCCCACCCACGTTTATCTTTCTCGCACTTGAATGCCCTCCCTACCTGCACAAACGAATATCCCCGCGTGCATGTGGCAAACCTGTACGTGGTGATTATGCTGCCTGCGTGTTTGGATGCTGCTCAGCAAATTATAGAACCCTCCACAAACTGCTTCGTGCCACTTCAACGCGCTACTTCAACCTCGCCCTCCTGCACCCCACTCGGCAAGCGCTTTCAACACAACCGAACAACTCGCCGTGCCCGGCGACCCACTTTTGTACCCATAATGCTCCGCCAGCTCACGCCACTGGCGTCGTCGGCGTCGTCCTCGTCGTGGGTATCCTCAATGGTAACCCGCACGCCAATGCGCCACGTAACCCACGCGTCGGCCGCCACCGTGTCGCTCACCATCCCCGGTCTGTCGCCCCACGTGCGCCACGACTGGACGAAAGCCGAAGTGCAGAGCATCTACGACCAGCCGCTGCTCGAACTCGTCTACAAGGCCGCGACGGTCCACCGCATGCACTTTGACCCGACGGAAGTGCAGCAGTGCACACTGCTGTCGATCAAAACCGGCGGCTGCACCGAAGACTGCAAGTACTGCTCGCAGTCGTCGCGCTACAAGACGTTTGTCAAGCCCGAGCCAACGAAAAAGGTACGCAGCCAGCGGCAGGCGGTCATATCGACGAACGCTCGCTCTGCAGTGGTAGAGGTGGTGTATACATCTGTATACATTGAGTTTTCTACGATCGATCGATCGATCGATTTCTATTTCGATTTACTTTTTGTATTTTCGGTTCCGATGTGCACCACATGCTTTTGTGCGCGATGGCTACATGTTGACATCATGTGTACGTACGCTTGTGGCTCACTGATTCACTTGATGTTGTGTGTAGGTTGACGAAGTGGTCGAGATGGCGCGCCGGGCGAAAGCAGCAGGCAGCACGCGGTTCTGCATGGGCTCTGCGTGGCGCGAAGTGGGCAAGAAGCACGCGTTCCAGCACGTGCTGAACATGGTGCGGCAGGTCAAGGCCCTGGACCTCGAAGTGTGCTGCACGCTCGGGATGCTCACGGCAGAACAGGCCGTGGCGCTCAAGGAAGCGGGGCTGTCGGCCTACAACCACAACTTGGACACGAGTCGCGAGCACTATGCCAAAGTCGTGACGACGCGGACGTACGACGACCGACTTGCAACGATTGCAAACGTCCGGCGCGCCGGGATCTCTGTCTGCTGCGGCGGGATCTTGGGGCTGGGCGAGGACAAGGTGGACCGCATTGGCCTCTTGCACACGCTGGCGACGATGGACGAGCACCCCGAGTCCGTGCCGATCAATGCCTTGGTGTCCGTCGAAGGCACGCCGCTGTTTGACGACGACGTGGCACCGGTCACGGCGTCCGACATGGCGCGGATGATTGCCACTGCACGCATTGTCATGCCCAAGACCATGGTGCGGCTGAGCGCAGGCCGCATGTCGTTTACCGACTCGGAGCAGGGCATGATGTTCATGGCCGGTGCCAACTCGATCTTCAACGGCGACACGCTGCTCACGACGGCCAACCCGGCCTTCGAAAAGGACAAGATGCTGTTTGAGAGCTTTGGACTCAAGGGCAAGCCGGCGTACCAGGCGCACAAGTCGACGCCTTACATCGTCAAGGTGACGCATTCGGCACCCGTGGCGAACGAGGCCGTGGCGAACGAGGCCGTGGCGAACGAGGCCGTGGCTTAAGTTCGGCAAAGAAAGTGTGTGCAGCACGAAGAAGACGCCGTCACGAAACAAGACTGTACGCTCGAGTCAACCGACTTGACGTTGCGAGCGTCATCATCGATCACCATCTCGACACACAGTTTTCCACCACCTTTTGACTTAGTTGTATTTGGTTCATGTCGGTACACAAGAGTTGGCGTTTTTGACCTGCTTCGACCGATGCCGTGTCTTCTTGGAACCTGAATGGCTCGTAGCGCGGCGCTTCTTCCGAGACGCCTCGTCGGTCGCCTCGTCAGTCGCCTCGCTCGTGTCGTCGCCTCTAGCTCCACTGTCTTTTCCTTCCTCCATGTCATCATCGTCAGGGTACAAGTCGGCCATGTCGTCGTCGTCGTTCTCGTCCTTGTTCAATTGACTCGCTTTCGTTCGTCCCTCTCGCTCGTCGCTTTCATCGTTGTCATCTCTCTGCTCGTCCTCCTCGTCCGAGTAGATCACTTGGCTGTTCTCAAACTCAAAAAGGTCTGCGTCAAAGTCTCGATCACTACTCGACTGCGTCTTGTCATTGCCATTCTTGTCGCCTTTGCTGACTTGCACCTTCACGTGCTCTTTCATCCGCTTGTACCGCTTGCCCTGCACGTGCTTTTCCACTTCGGCGGGAATGCGGTTCAGTATCGTACTCGTGACATTGCAGAACAAACACTTGGGCAGGCGCCGATGCGGGACAATGTACGGCTCGTACTGCGAGTAGTCGTGGCAGTACCAGTCTCTCGCTTTGCAAAACTTCTTGGACGTGAGGTGCGCCGTCACAACGTCAGCGCGCGGCAGCATCTCGTGCTGCGTCAGTTGGCACTTCACGCGCACACGCTTAGGCTCATCGTGGCCGCCGGTCTCGAGCACCTCGAGGAACTCGTGCTGGTCCAAGAGCTGCTGCAGCGCCGGCTCGAGACTCGATGCTGGCGCGGCCATTGGAAATATGTCACACGTAACGGACGAGTCGACTGACAGGCTCCAGTCAATTTGTGAACAAGTGCGTCCATACATACATGTGGCATAATTAGGCACAAACGTACATGGGTACATACATACCTACATGGGTACATGCTTGCTTACATGGGTACATACTTGCTTACATGCTTGCTTACATGCTTACATGGATACATAGATGCATTTTGTACCTGTACAAGCAAAGGAGCAAACTCAGGAGCTCTCGTGCTTGGAGACATCTCATTTAGTCCTGCAGGAATCCATGTGATGGGTATGCATGCAGCCACTTATCCTTCGGTTGGTTGGGGCTGGTGGTTTGGATCGAGTTGGGCGTTGTGAGGTGTCCTCACCACAGTGTTTTCCTGAGGTTGTTGCGTGATGAAGCTACTTGCGTGCTTGCTGACGTGAAGAAGCACAGGACGACGACTGGTCTTGCCTTGGTAACTACAACAACAAGAACGTCAAAGCGCGGTCGACAGCTTGGAATTGATCGCAGAGGAGGATAAAAATCAGCGAGCTCCTTCTACTGCCACGAAGCGAGGACCAGAGCGTACGTATTGGATCGAGAGTCCTTCAGAGCGCTGGCTTCGACCACAACACATCCACTGTGTCTCGAGCAAAGGCGTGTTCGCCTCTTGTAGCCTCTCCTCTTGCGTACGCAGATATTCTTTCTGCAATGTCACGCAGGATAAGTCGAGGCGACGGAGTATGAACGTGCTGACAGTTTCACCCATCGATGCCGATTTATCTGCTGCTGCATGGTTTCGACGAGCACTGTTTGTGGTCGCGCTCAAACAGGAGGTATGTCGGAAGTGAGGGCTTCTGTTCAGACGTCGTTGTTCCCTCGAGACTTCTTCCAGGTCATGCGTGGGTCCTCATAGTCTGCAGGGTCCAGTCGACAAGCTGGGGAGTCTCGACAACCTGGTTACCATCGACAATGCCTACACAACCATTCTGGTCTCATGATGTTCGCCCTCGCTTTCCACTCAACTAACTGCATGCGCTTCTACAACAACGGGAAGTGTGAAAGACAACTTGTCAATCGAAACAGCTTGAACTGGGCAACAGTCGGCTTAGATAGGTCACTGGGGTACGAGGGCCAGGATCCAGGTCGTCTAGACATGTACATATCTCGGTTGACACCGCTTGGCTTACTACTGTATTGCTTACTATCAGTGACCCAGTCCAACAAACGCTATCTCAAGTACGCGGCCACGAACGACGTCCAGTGTAAGCAGGTCCAGCAGCACGTGCCAGGATCTGCACAACGCCCGACCAACGAGCTGATCATCTCCGCGCGTCATGTTGGACCTGCGGGGCACCCCGGAAGCGCTGACCACCACATCGACCTTTTCAATACCTCATCGGCTACTCCATGCTTGCGGGGCCTGTCCCATGAGTGTACACATCATGTAGCCACTGTCCGTAGCCGCTGTAGATCCGTGCACGACATCAAAACGACTCGAGGTCTTCATGTAGTCCTAGTTAGACATGAAGCAGCAACGACAAGGACTGGCCAATGCCAGTAGCGGTGCCCAGTATGGTTAACCAGTGACGGGTGGGGCAGCTGTGACGGGGACTGCCGACAAAGAACAGCAGACATGACACACAAGGAGAGACTTGTGGCAGTGACCGGCGGACGTCACCAGGAATTGACTTGGAAGCTGCATTTCTCAATCGCTTGTTTCGAGAGCATTGCGCTGTTTGTCATGACTCTCTTCGCAGTAAGACGGTACAGTCCAACTGCACAGAGCTGCAAATGTTATGTAAGCACGAGGCACAGAAAGAAGAAGTTTACAGACTGCTATCACGAACGCACATCGATGTTGTGCCATAAATAACTGACGCGCTGCAGTGTGCGATCAAACTCAGATCTCAGTGCGATCATGTGCGACTCGCACGAACAGTGGATTAGGCTCTGTACTCATTGCGCTCATTTGTTTGCTAGTGACAAGGAACAGCCGCAACCAATACGCCACTTGTCGTTGTTTCGCTGTATTGAAATGTTCCTGACACTCTGTCTATTGTGCGGAAAATGCACTCAACATCTGCTAAAGACACCGACATCGTTAGCTTTGCTGCAAAATGGTGAGTGCATATGATATGCACTTTTCTCGGTGGAGCTGCGATCTGTCTTACGCTGCAAAATGCTGACGCTACTTCGAGCTAAGGCGTAGACAGGATCCTGAGCACGAAGAGTGGTGTGCATGAGGTTCCCGAATGTCGAAAGTGCTGACCGTATGTCCATAGTTGCGAACACTTTCACGCGAAAGGTGTTGTAGTATGCTGGGAATGCTGCGATGCGTGGAGCGACGCACAAAGCTTCGACAAACCGGTAAACACAATGGTCGACGTTCTTACACAAGAGACAACGCCTGTGTGCAATTTGTGCGGTATGAAGCGCACCTCTGTGAGCGAAAGCATTCGATCTTATTCGACCACAGTGAAGGCCAAGACGCGCGATAGGTAAATGGTGACGGGGCAAAAGCGCTACGACGGTGAGACCGGACGAGCGATACCATGCAAATGACAGGTTCAATGACACAAACTCTCGAGACTTTGATATTGACTTGTGCAGATCAACTTGTACGCTAGCATTGATAAGCAGCAAAGAAGAACGCCCTAGCTACTGGATCTTGAGCCATTCGTCGTGCTGGGAAGTCCATGCATCAACGCAAGTGCTATTGCGACATTACTTGTCGCTCTCCTTGTTTGCTCAACGATCGCCCACGACAAACAGATTCCAACTGCAGAGCGATAGATCGATTGACAAACTTTCATCTCCTCATTTTCCTCGCAGATGTTGTCACATAGTCGTAACGTCACCGAAAGATCGGCCCACATGTTAGTGCACGTCCCCAGAGCACGTCACTCAGCGTCCTGCAGCAAGTTGAACGCGCTCAAGTGTTTCCTGCGCTCCCGCCGCAGCAACACGACCGACACAATCAGCAGCACGATCATCACGGCCTACAACACATAGCAAACACACCACTCGCATCATTATCTCTCTCTTCCCCTCCTCGAGCCTCTTCCACATTCAACCGACGAGCTCATCGAACCCCATTCCAGACCACCCAACTGCCCGTCACTCTTTGTACCTCAAACTTCAGCACTGCCACACCATGAAAGAGTGTTGTATTGGGAAAACACGACTGGAACCGCTTCTGGCCGCCCCCTTCGGGGTCTGCTACCAGCGACGGCGTCGAGGCCGTCCACGCGCGGGGACACTCGAGCTCCTGCCGGTAGCCCGTCTCGCGGCACATTTTTTCTTCCTCCGTCTTCTCCATCTCCGAACACGGCACGCACTTACCCACTAAGAAACACGCGAGACCCGACGATGGATCGTACACGCGGTGGGCGGACACTTGCGACGGATCGCGACGGCGCAGTGGATTGTCCGTCTCGTCATTCGCTCGCGTCTTCGGAACGAACGCGGCGCTGGACGGAGCACTTTGATGGCGCAATCGACGACGGATGGAGTGCATTAGTGTATGGGATACGTTTGGAAGGCGGGTGGTGAGTGGATGTGGCGCTGTGGGGCGGCGCGCAGCGCGTGTCTTAGTGGTTTATGGCCTTTGGTTTATGGTTTGGATGTTGGTACGTAGCGGTTTCGAGTTTGGAAGTGGGTCGACGATGGATTGGGATGGATGCACACGACCCAAATCGATTGCTGGTGTATTTGCTTGTGTGCTCAAAGTTGAAACTTGAAACTTGACGTTTGGCGACGCGAGACGATCAGAGGCGATTGTATTGCGTCAGGAGGATGTTGTGTACTACGTAGCACATGGTTCTGATAAACTAGCACCTTGTCGCTGCTTCGCAAGGTATCAGTGGGTGTTAGTTACTCATTAGCTTGCTCGCTTGTTCGCGGAAGACGACTTGCGTACGTTCACCCTACACAGTAGTCAAATTATTCACTTTGATTGATCAAGAAACGTCCGCTAGGTCACTTCGTCGTAGGGTGAGCACTTGTCAACTAGTTTTATTCCAACATACCATCAATTTATATGTTTGTTACGTAGTCCACGCGATACGAGGGGCAAGAGCAAAGAGCGCGGCTGCACGCCAGGCTGAATCTGCCATTTGAGCTCCCCGTAAATGAGGCAATCGATGATTAGTCTTCTTCTCCAGGTGCATCCGAAACCTGCTGTGTCTGTCGCTGGGGCTTTACGTGGTGACGCACCGCATGAAATAAAAGCTTCGATGATAACATTCATAGCAAGTCATCTATCGCTTGTCGGGATCGATCAACGCTGTTTATCAAACCCTATAAATATGGCGGTCAAAGCCCTTCGGCCCATCAGTCAATGCGGCAACTTTCGCATCAAACACGAACATATGATCGGGGGATCAAAGAAGACATGGATGGTACGGTGGAACCACGAGGGATAGCATCTCCATTTGTAGGTGTGAGGTGATTCATAACTTTTGACATATGTAAGATCCCCGCCGATTGCTCGTTTGACGATGGCGTCGCGTTCCACCGAGCAGATCTCGTTGCACTGCTCAACGAGGCCTGGCACATCAATCATTCCTGTCCAACCCTGCTTTCAACCATCTGCCGTCGAAGTAGAGCCGCGTCAAAAAAGGTTGCGGAAACTTGTTTGATGTCTCTCGCAATCGCCATAGTACAAGGTTCGCTCCGTGTAAAATTGTCGACCACCGCGCGAGTTCAGCAGCGGATACGGTCGACGCGCTAGCAGAAACATCGGACAGGTCCCTCTGACCCGACATTTGATTGCTGCCGTCACGTACCGGACCTGTTACTCGAGGACATGAAGCACAAGTGATAGCATACTATCTGGTTGCCTGACTCTGTGCAGTCCCATCTCAGTGAACGGGAACGTGTTCAGTCGACTTATTTTTGCCTGCGCTCGCACCTTACGTGGTAGCTCAAACGTGAGTGCGTGATCTGGGCGGCGCAGCGCACGAAGGGTGTCGATACCCTTCGTGTGCTGCGCCGCCCAACCGCTCGCTATTGTCTATGTTCGTCCCCTACTATGCAAAAATAGGCTCTCCCATTTTTCTTAGCGTTCCGTTTCTGTCTATTCATCACTTCTAGATTTGAAGAACAAACGAAAGGCTCTGCTTTTTAAACCACCAGAAACTTATCCGATGACTTGAAAAGTGGAGAGCCCATCGGACTGAAACAAATGACCCTCGCTGTTTCTAGCCGCAGTGCGCTTTGCGTGCGCTGCATGGATTCCAATTTCTCCAAATATAAGACTGTCATCTCCCTCGCTAGTAACATCATTTAAATTCCGATGTCCTTAGCATCGTCATCAGCCAAAGTGCATCGCTCTTGCTCCCATCTTCTTCTCGATGGTAATGTGATCGGCACCGTTAGCCTTCGCAATGGCGTTTCGTCATTGCGATACGAATGATAGACCGATTGATTCTCGCTCCATCGAGCTTGTTGGCTTTGAAATCACAGCCATAGTACTTTACGATGTGGACACGTGGACGCTAAAGCTATTTGCGCAGAATGGTGTATGCGTTGTCGAAACGTGACCTGTAATCCTGACTCTGTGCGTAAGATGGGTCTGTATCGTATTCAGGGGGAGTGTACCCAACGAATGACCTTCGTCGAAGCAAACCACACGCACTGCAGAGAGAATACTAAGGCTTTGGAAACTACTCGTGAGCCAGCCCGCCTTCAGCAACTCATTTGTGATTTGAGGAGCACACACCACGGAAAAAGAAGTGCGACGTACCACAGTAGATCAAGTAGCAGTGAATAGAGCCGGAGAACTGGGATACAAAGATCGGGTGAGCGTCCTGGATCCCGCACTGGGGATATTGGTAGAGCTCGACTATCTTTGTCATTCTGCATCTCACGTCCTCTCCGGTACCACCGCCTCCGACGCCGCGCAACTATGCGAGTTCACTCCATCTCGCTCGTAGCTGTAGCAGCGACCGTAGTATGTCTCGACAGGCCGTCAGGGATATCCGGTTTGACCATCAAAAATGATGATCATGCTGGTCCGAATCCAACTCGCGACAACCCCGATACGGTCGTCGCGACAACGGGAGTGACACCTTCGGATGCCATGGACGAGAGCAAGACGATGTTCAACAGTGCATGGATTGAGCGAGTCAGTGCGGTCGTAAGCGGTTCTCCCCTATCCGCGTTGTGGAAGCTCCTGACGAGTGGAGGAAAATCGATCGCGGAGCACGAACGCGAATTGCTCAGATTGCCGACACACCTCTTCGACCCGTCTCCCAAGCTGACCGAAGCCCTTGTGAAACACTGGTACGCAGAGAACAGAGACATTGACAAACTGTGTGAGTCACTGAAGCTGTCCAGCGCCACTCGCGACCCGACCGCTTTATTTCGAGCTGGCGATTACCGAAAGATAGAGGTGCTACGTTCCTACATTGAGCACGTCAATAAGAGGAAAGGGAGCAACCATGAGCTAATCAAGACGCTGAGGAAGAACTTGAGTGACTCGAGTCTGTCAACGTTCTTGCTGGATTCGATTCGATTCGGTGTTCCGGATAACGCTGCTTATGCAGCGAAACTGCAGCAAGAGATGATGGCAAGCTGGGAGAAGGATGGGCTGTCCGCCGACAACTTGTTTGCAACGCTGGGAATGGAGAAAAAAGGAAAGGAAGTCTTTGGCAGCATGGAACTGTCGACATTGGAACGATACGTGGAGTATCTCCAGGTGGAAAATCTGCTGCTTCATGATGCATATGTTCAGCTTCGAGATGGAACTGTGCTGCGCCAGGATGAATATCAGCTGCTTCAAGGTGGATATATGCGACGTCAAGGTAAAACTGTACTACACCGGAATGAATATACGCTTCAGGGTGTATATGTGCAGCTTCGAGATGGAATTGTGCTAAGCCAGGATGATTTCATGCTGTTTCGGGATCAGCTTGTGCTGAACGCTTTGATCAACGGTTTTAAGAGTGAACAGAAGGTTGCTATGCTCGCTGGTGCAAGAAATGGACACCATCCGGAGGCTGGGGAGTATCTGAAGGCGTTGTTGCGTCGATGGAAGATCCGCGATATAGCGCCGGAACGTCTGTTTGCGGCCAAGCACTTTGCGACGGATCCGTCCGGAGACGCACGAACAATGGAGGACTTCATTTTCGACGCTTACCGCAACTTTTATTTGACGGACGAGTCTTTGTCGGAAGTCTTGCAAGATCTAATACGTAGTCGCGTGCTCAGCTAGACGTTAGCTGTACGTCACCTTTTCAACGAGTGTGTACTTTGCCACATTGGAGAAGATCCTACAACATCGTTCTTGGCTAATTATTCATTAATACACTTGTTCTGGTCGTTGGGTCTGTCAGAGCACATACAAATCATGGGACCCTGGGGCCGACCGCCATCAGAGTCTAGTTCAGAAGATATGCAGTTTGTTAAGGGAAGCTCAAATTCGCACCACACACCCTATGCTTATCTTGGTTGTAATCAAACATGGATTGAGATAGGCCATCGCACATGCAGCCAAAAGAGGCGCGATCGGTGATCAACATAACTCTCATATCGTGTTGAAGTCAGTAAGTAGTAATGCCAGCCTTGTTGTCAATCCACTGCACCCGCGTGATCCGTGCTTTTCATCTTGGAGCGATTTCGCCGTCTCGGGCATCGAAACGTCATTATTGCAGTAAGTGAGTTCCTGACGAAAACAAGTAAGATTTATCGGAAAAGGTAGCGCGCTGTATGATGATGACTACGCTCAAAGTACCAGACGTGACTACGCGCTGTATGATGGTGACTACGCTCAAATTACTAGACGTTATCACACCGCGTTTATACATTTGACCATGTCCTTTGTATAACTTGGTCAACGACGGACTTCAGTGATACGCTTAGCCTCACAAAGAGCCACAGCCCTTTGCCCCCTTTGTTGGTGGAACGTATCAGTGCCAAAGCTGCTTTGAGTTTGATGGTTACGTTCAGGTGTTTTGAACCACCGCAAGCGCTCTCGTTAGTATCTCGCGCATTCCTTACTTCTCCACTCCGACTATAGGCAACTTCAGAGCACTGGCGTTTGCATTGAGTTGTGTCTAGTCACTCGCCACCACAGCGTTATCGTCAAACGATGTTGGCAGTTAGTACAGAAAGCTTAGCATGGGGGCGACATCTCTTCGGTCGTACCATGCAGCCGAATGACAGACGGGTGATTGTATGAAGCTGGGAATCGCAATCACCGCGCACACTATCACGTGTAGCGCGTATGCTTTTGGCTTGGTGAAGCCGAAGCATGAGCCCGTGGCACAATCGTTCGCCCATCGTTGATGCAGTCTAGTGCTTGAGGTCAGTCGGAAGCGATACGATCACAAAGCAAGTAATCCAACACAAGCAGCGCGTGCGTATATATCATCATATACCATCAATGATTCGAGCCATGCAGCTCCAGACTCATTCAGTTGAGCACCGTGTGACCAAAAGACGTCTGCAGCTTTGAGCATCATGGCTCCACAGACACGTCGTGAATAATAGCTGTAGTCCTCAATCCGAGTACGAAGGCAGCCATCGTGCAGACATCGGCGCAGGCTGTCGTTGCCACTACGCCAATGCGGTGATACTTGGTGTGCCAACCCCATCAACTTGATGCTGCTGATCGTGACCAAGACATGTAAATGTATCGGTGGGTGTATCCTTCAGAACAGCCATTTCAGCTGTCATTTACCTGCCGCATGTGGTCAATCTCATTGTCTGCAATCTCCGGTGATATCATCCCGACAGGGCTTTGACACAAAAAAGCCAAAATGGTATCCGTCGGACATGGCCTGCTGTAAGCGCACTGTCGTCAGATATCGTTAGGAAAGTCAATGACGTAACACTCGACATGTTGACGACAATGAGAGGTGCAACGAATGGAAACAGTGACTAGATCGAGGCTTTAGCTGTTCTAGTGAGTCAACTACGGTGGCTACTGTGGAGTAACCAGCCTACTACATACTGACAACGCACTCTCTTTTACAAAGCCATAAACTGTCACCCTCGATTACCCCTCGTCGAAGCAGCAGCGTGTATCCGTCTACGCAGTTCGTGTACCCCACCACACCCCGCGCGACAACATCTCGAGTACCCCTTTTCGTAACCCGCTCGTCGACCAGTGCCAAAAGCATGGCCCATGCCGCCGAAGCAGCGACAGCGTCCACGTCCGCGCAGCCACGTGCCCAACCAGACCCTCCCACGCCTTCCACAGCACCTCATGATGAAGCCAAGACGCAGACGCATCAACTTATGCCCTCCGTGTCTTCCGTCACGCGGCAGGGGCCTCAACATATTGCCGACAAGGCGAAGTGGACACCTTTGCGTCCACAGAGTACGGTCGAGGCACGTGGCAACGCTTCAGTTGCTGCGAAAGCATCAGCAGTAGACGCAATAGATCAAGCGAAGAAGAAGTCGAATCGACTGCACCTTGCGACGGTGCCGCCACAAGTCCAACGGCGTCCTGTGATGACGAAACAGGTTGGCAGGACGATAGTACCGCCTCGTACTGTTGGAAAAAGCGCTCGGGATAGTGGTAGCAGCAGCAGTGCTATCACTGGTGTGAACACGCTATCGAGGACTGCTACAGCGGCAACGACTGGCAACACAGCAGGAGTCGCTGGAAAGACAATTGCTGATCGACAGAAGCTGCAACAGACGCACGTTGCAACGACGTTACAGCAGAAGGCTACACATCCAGCGGTTGTAAGGGACGACAAGGGGTCAACGGACGAGTGGTTTCGGCAGAGCAAACTGGTGCTGGAGCAGGCACACATGCGACAACAACAGCAACAGCAACAGCATCGACAAGGGCAAAAGCAGCAGCAACAGAGCCACGGAGGCAGCGGAAGCAATGTGACAAAAAGGGTCCTGACTACGTCGATTGCCGACACGTTGTTGGCGCAGCAGCAGCAGGTGATTCGACAGCAGCAGTTGCTTCGTGATATGCTGCAGAAACAGCAACAGCAGCAGCAACAAGCACAGCTTCAGCTACAGATGAAATGGGCGCAAGGAGGCGGCAAGGGTGGCACAAAAACTGCGCTATCGCCAGCTACGTCCGCAGTAACAACGGTATCACCAACCACGTTTGTTACTGCGGCACCGACTCACAACCCGATGAAGAAGAAAGCGCCGAAGGATACGTTTGGAATGGATTTGGAAGCACTGGCGAGAGTTTGTATCCGAGTGGCCAATGCAAGAACCGAGAGTGAGATGCGTCAAGCGCTGGAGAAAATGACGTCGTGGCTCCACCAGTGTACTGAGCTTCCGTTGCTGCAACTTGCACAGCGAGACTACAGTGATTCGATGACCCGCCGCCGGTCAATGCTTATCCAGCAAAACCGATGGCCGCTGGACCTCCAAGTCAAATCCGAGTACATCACACACAAGATCGTACAAATGCTGGGAGTGTTCTTGCTGCGCGAAAAGAACCAAGGTGCCCAGCAGCAGCATGCTACAGTGAGAGCTGCCGCAGCCATGAAGTCTGGTGTTTCTACTTCTGCGCGTTCTGCTACCACTTCAGCTGACGGCACCGTCGCTTTCCGTCCATCCACGGTGTTCGCTAGTGGTGCTACCGCTGCGATGACGACCGCATCTGCCAGTCGCTCGGGTACCTCTGGCAATGGTGTTTCCACTGCAGGTACTACTGCTGCTGGTCATGCCACTACTGCCGCTACTGGTGCTGCTAGGCCTACTGCTGCTGCTACCGTCGCTGCTGTTGCTGCTAGGCCTACTGCTACTGCTGTCGCTATAAAGCAGGCAGTTGTGCCAGTGGCAGCAACTACGGCACGTGCTGGACTGGCTTCGTCGCCATGTCCGACGATGCCAGATCAGTCCATCAGAGCTCCTGTAAAACGGGACATGGCGTCGATCGAGCGGGCGTACGCTGCCTTGAAAAGCCAGTTGCAAGCCAAACAAGTCGAGGTCAATCAGAAGGCAAAGGTGAAACGAGATGCAGCAAAAGTGGAAGCTACGAAAGCGGTCGGTGTTGCTAGTAAACACGAGACGACGGCTGCTGTGCTGGCAGCAACGTACAAGCGCTCGATGCAGCCTGGTACGCCTGACACTGCCAAGAAACAACGGACGGATGTGCATGCAGTGTCGTCAAGCTCCACCACGATGACCTACCGACCTCCGACGACATCTGTGTCTTCGGCACCTGTACCTCCTGCATATGTGCCTCCGACGACATCTGTACCTCCGGCGCCTGTACGCCCGACATCTGTACCTCCGACGCCTGTACGTCCGACATCTGTACCTCCGATCTCGCCTCAGCTTGCACAGCAGTTTTACGACTTCGGTGTGACCACCCGGACAAGTTCAGAACCTGAAGACAAGATGTATATGCCATCCAAGATTGTGTCCAAGATCATGTACAAGGCCCTTCCGCGTGTGCACGGCAAAAGCGCAGGTGCCGGTGTCCTCATGACCAAGCGCGATGAGCAAGTAAAAAGCGAAACTGTATCACCGGCTCTGAATCCATCGCACAGCACTCTGGACCACGAATCGCATTTGCAAGATGCATTCAGCATCAGTGACGAGGCTGTGACCTTCATGCAAGAGTGCGTCACGGAGTTTCTCCTGTACTTCACGAGCGAATCGCGGGATCTTTCCATGATGCAGAATCGGAGAACGAAAAAAGGCGTGGGTCTGTCCATCTCTGGTGCCAATGTCGTGGAAAGCATGGAAAACCTAGGATTCACGCCTTACGCTCGAGTGCTGGCTGGGTATAACGAGAAGGTGAAGGCGAGCCAAGATGCCGCCGCACGGAAGAAGACAGAGCGGAAGAATGCCGCTCAGCAGCGGGCACTGCAGACACACTTGGCTGCTCGTGCTGCCGCAACTGTTGCCATGAATGCGTCTAAGTCGGCAGCAGCTGGAACAAGTGCAGATCTGCCATATTTGTTTGCAAAGGAGCAGTCCAAATCGGTGACCCCGTTTTCACGAGTCACTGCGGCGACGTTATCGAGTTTGGGTTCTAGCCTGCAAGCCGTTTCACGAAATGTGTCGGCGTCACCCGCAGGGGCAGCGACCGCACAACCGGCCGCAGCAGCGACGATAACGGCGGTGCCCTCGAATTCAGCAACGGACCTACGCCAGCAGCCACAGCTCCACCAAAAATGAAGACAGCGTCAGATCACGTCGTTGGAGTTGATTCGGACAGTGAGTTGAATGGTGACAGCATTCACCAAATTATACTGATTTGGCAGCGTTGACGCGGATGCCTGAAGTGATGTAAGAGAAGTCAACTGGATGTGCCAAGAGGATGAGTGTGGCTAATGCTACGGCGGACGAGCTGAACCGCTCTTCTCCACGTTGCGAACCATGGAGAAATTCGGCTGCAATGGAGAATGACGTTGGCATGACACCTTTGAGCTTGAGTGATATGTGTATCGAAGTCAGCACGTACTTCGCTCGAATGTCGCAAACACACGTACCTGCGCCAGAGCTGCGATGCTCAAGCGTCTCGAGAGAAGTCCGACGTAAGTGGTGAACGAGTATGCTGAGCTCAACTTTTAGTTTCGAACAAGCGGAATGATATTGATGGTGTTGCTACTAAGTTCTTACTCGTTGTACTGTGCACTGAACTCGCCTGACCCGAACCTGCTTATATGTACGACCAGGATGATGCTGTCGAAGACATCACTCGGCCTGCTTCGGCCCATTCTCGGCCTCCACTTGAGCAAAAAAGACACGGACGCACGCATGTATGCACCGATACATCGTGGAAGTCGGTAAGGGAAGCGATAAATCGCTTGGGCTACGTTGCGTAGGCAAAGACCATCCAGTACGCGCTCAGATGTGGAACAGCAGTCGTTCGGACAAACGACCAGCCGTTGTTCACATGTTCTTCGTGTACTGCTGCGAAATTTGCGATCGCATTTCCCAGGAAGATGGCGCTTTGAAGTATCGCAGCATGTCTGCTTCGGTCGGCTGCGCTGGCATCGAGGCCGGTAGAGCTGCGGCGGGAGCGAGACTAGCTTCAACGATCGTGCGCAGCTGCAAAGTTGTCGTGGAAAACACGGAAAAGTAGATGGTAATGCGCGTACGCAGACGCTTTGGCTGTCGTCTGCGACGGCCAGTTGGCTCCTCCTCCGGCTCTTCGGGGAAGTCGTCTGCTTCGTCGTCATCATCCAGTTCCTCCTCCTCTTCGTCGTTCTCAACAGCATCCAGTTCGGTATCGTCAGGCCAACGCATGAATTGAGCTGCCACTGCACTGCCGTTCGCGTCACCGATAGAGCGCACGCGCCATGCACGATACGCCATCAAGGAGCGCTTGCGAGACCATCCAAATGGAAAGTAGTCTTGAGGAAGCACCACCGTCGGTTCTTGCTGGTCCAGCTGCAGCAGAAACACGACATCAGCTGAAACCAGACTGTTCGGAAGCGATAGCGTCATGGTCGTGTCCGTCTCCGTAATGTGAAGCACCTTCGTCGTGTGCGCGTGAATACATCGAGCCAACCACGAGAGAGACGACGCAGCCGTTGCCGACCGAACGGAGGCAACACGCTGCAGCTGCTGTAGGTGGTGCTCGTCCGCTTCGCCAAGGCGGTTCCACTCCCCAGTCAAGCCCGTAGCACCTGTGACTGCCGCCTTGCGCAACGAGACTGCCACTTCCAGGTCCTGGCGGGACGGCACTGCATCCCGTATCGCGCGGTAGTAATTCGCAAAGATGTTCATGTACGGCAGCGGACGCAACGCGCCTTCTTCCTTGTCACCAGCTTGCTGCTGGTCGTCGTCGTCCAGCACCACCCACCAAGGCTCATGCAGCAGCCAGGGCTCGCAGCTTTTCAGCATCTCGTACAGATCCCATTCACCCTCATCAGCTGACTCAGCGTCACCCCACGACTTGTGCATTCGACGCGGTAGGCGAGATACCTGAGCCTCGACGGCGTCATTCAACAGGTCCACAAGCTGTGCGTAAGCAGCTAAAACACCTCGCCCAGCCTGGGCACAGTCGTGCATCTTTTGACGCACGTCTTCCAACAGCCCAGAGCTCGCCAGCGATGTGCAGACTGTCACAAGGTTCGAGCACAAATACAGCAGCTTGGGGTTGCTCAGAGGGATCTGCACCAGCGTGTGCTTCCTGCGCTGACATTTCGCGCTCTTGCTCGAGGCAGAAGGTGCTGTCGGCATCGGTGGAGTAATCATCTCGAACGAGTGGCGATAGATCTTCGGGTTTGACTCCTTCTGCTTCGCGGTGACTTCTTCAAAGCGATAGATACGCTTGACGATCGTAAACGCTAGCTGCAATATGCGCGCGCGACGATAGAGCTCACTGTCAGTCGGGACCGGAGTCATTGCTGGACGCGAGTTGCCAGGAGATGACACGGGCGACAACGTCGGGCAGATTTTCTCAGAGGCCTCAATAGCCGCTGTGATTGCCTTATCCGAGTCAGTCGAGCGGTTGCGCTTGCGGTTGAGGTAGCTGTCAGGCGTGGATCCAGGCGACATCATCATCATCATCGGAATGCCGCCTCCTTCAGGAATCATGCTTTGCAGACCACTTGACCAAGTATCGCGCCGCGCGTATGAATACGGCCTGGCCGAAGCATACGCATGCTGATGCAGAGCTGCAGCTGTAAGGCGCGACGTGTTCACATGAGGAGTCCCAACACCAGACGAAGGGACCGTCGTCGATCGGGAAGACGACAGACTCGAGCTCACGATCGGCGTTCTTGCAAAAGGCGAGTGGCCCTCTAGTCGAAGCTGCATCATACCTGTGATCGGAGTGAGCACAGGCACTGTGCGCGAGTGGTGGCGTGGCATATTCAGTGGCTTCGATGCGGGCATCGGGAGAGCTGCCAGCGATGAACGTCGCGCGTGGACCGTCCGATTGCCTTCTACTGCACGAGCTCCCACAGCGTTGTTCAGGAAAGCGCCAACGCCTGGCAACGATGGCATTAAAACCCGGGTCTCCCGCGAACCCTCGAAGTGCAGCGGATGCGTGGCCGAAAGCGACAGTCTCGGTGATGGCTGAAACTGCTGGTGCTGGTGCAAGAGCTGCTGCGCTTGTGGTGCAGGAAGCGAGGGCGTCGAGAAGTAATCTGTCTTGAGCGAAGCCGAGCGAGTCAAGCGCTTGCGTTCACGCCGAGCAGGGTCCTGCTGCCTCGACATGAAACCTGTCGGCGGTCGTTGTTGTTGCTGCGCCGCCACGTACGTAGCAGCTGCATTCACCGTCGCACTATTGCTGCCCGTCGTGCTCCTGAGGAACTCATCAATGCTCCTCGCACCTTGTGACCCGGGCAGCGTCCCTGCTCCAGGACCTCTCAAAGCGGACAGGACGTGACGAGGTAGTTGCAATCCCATCGAGCCACTTGCCATATTTGGCACAGCGCTGTTAGCCAGTGCGGCTTGGCTCATCGGTGCACGGAACGTCTTCCTCGCCTTGCGACTCGACGAGATCCTGAACGCTGGTGACGCCAGCGCAGCAACGCACGTCATGGTGCTGTCATTTCCGCTAGCACTGGCGTCGAAGACGTAGACTTTGAACACGTGCAGGTTCTTGCAGTTAAGCCGCGACGACTGCCACCCGTAGTGCCACGACTGACGATTGCCATTCAGGAGAAAGCACGAGCTTTCCACGCTCCGGCCTGGCACGGCCGTGCCTCGGAACCAGCGACCGAAGGGCTGGTCTGGCATCTTGACGTCCTCGAAGAGCTCTTGACGCGGATACTCGCGACCGACCACCAGAGTCGTGCGGCCAAGACTCGTGTCGACCGCCGTCGGTGCCGTGGGCGACGAAAGTGCGTTTGCATGCGCAGGCAGCTGCTTGGCGAGTTCTTCAAACCTGCCCAGCACCACTGGGCATTTGGGCAGCAAGCACTCGACCACAAGCCCCGAGCCGCAAAAGCTCTTGGGGTTGTGCCCGCCACAGCAATGCGGGAAACAGCGCAGATTCTACGACACAGACGAGTAACACTCCAGTAAGCGCAAGCACCACCAGCACTGTCGACAACGACGAAGCAAAAGAGAGCGACACAAAGGGCCACAGCAACTACAAAAAAGACACGTAGAAGGCCGAGAGAACTGCATCAACGCGTACCTTGTGACCACTGGCTTTGTTGCTCCTACAAGTGCATCAGTACAGTCACAGTCACAGTCACAGCACATCATCATCAGATCATCAGATCATTTATTCATTCCTCCACACAGCCCCTTCCCTCTACATCTCTCTGGCTCTCTTTCGAAGAGCTCTACAGATGACACACAGCTATATGTGGTCGTACCTCAAGTATTCGCTCGAAAAGAGCTCCTTCCCGCACTGGTTGTGCGTAAAGCGCAGACGCGGACCACTGGGCCCTCCCCCCGCGTCGTCGTCGTCGTCGTCGTCCGTCTTCATGTTGGGCCGCGCGGTCGGTCGCGTCTTGTCGCCCGTTGTCTCGAAAGTGCCGCCAGGAGGCGCTGCGCTCGGGGATCGCCACTGCTGTTGCGGCTGTGCCATTGCGTTTGACTGACTGCCGCCCGCCGTCGTCCGTCAGCAGTGGGCGCGAGACAGACAGACAGACAGACAGACAGACAGACAGGCAGACAGTCGGGCGTGCTTGATGCTGTCTCGTTTCTACTCTGTCCTGCTCTCTTCTGTGGCGGCGACAAGCGACGGGCCAATTTGGTGTCACGACAGGGCGACGCCCGCGCGGCCGCAACGGTGGACGAGCGGTCAACGGTTTCAGCCAATGAGAGGCATCGATTGGATAGATACGACTACTACAGTGCTACAGTACGTGCGTGCGGGGGCGCGGAAGCCTTTTGTGTCAGACGACAGACGGGCCGGCGCTTCACTTCAAGCTGGACAGACAGACAGACAGACAGACACGGTCAAGTGAGACAACGACTGGTCGCGCGGTACCACACGCACACGCACATTCCAATCGCTCGCACACGCAATGCTCGTGTCTTTGCATTCGTACCCACTTGTCAGTCGAGAGAGAGAGAGAGAGAGAGAGAGAGAGCGAGACCCTCGCGCCCATGAGTGGACAGCAAGTGTACTGCCGACTGTCAGCTATACCCTCAAGAGCTTGATCCCTTGTGTGTATTTTCAAGTCAGTATGTGTATACGTGCCCCACGTTCTGCAGCTCTCTCTCTCTCTCTCTTTCGCTCACTCTCGCATTCTTTCCCTTGTGTGTGTATGTGTATGACGAGCCCTGCGAGAAAGGGTGGACCTTCTGCCGAGCAGGTCAGATCAGGGCCCATCCCAAACTCGAGCCCCCGGGTCGTTGTTGCAGAGCGAGTGGCACACGTGTCGGTCGGTGTCTTCACTCTGGCGCGGGCCGAACAAGCGCAGTGCCTTTCGATGGAGCAAGTCCTACGTCGCGCGTTCTCTGCACGAGACTTGTCTCTGCAGAAGCTTCGGCGCTTGTTCTGCGAACGACCATCCTGTCGCGACTCTTGCGGTCGCTAGGCCGTGGAACGGACAGAGACAAGACAAGACAGGGGGAGGGAGGAGCCTCGTCTCCCCTGCGAGACCTTATTCCAGCGATCTGCCCCTGCGACAAAGTGTGATCTTATCCGCACGTGACGAGAGACAGGACCTTCTGATCTGGCCAAAGGGTACATGTACGTACCTCAACTCGGCGTGTGCCTTTCGTCGTTGCTGCTTGTCCGACAAACGACAATGGACCTGTTGGTCACTTGCACCGGTCAATGCGCTAACGTACGTAGCTGATGCAGTATTGATGCGCAGCTTGACCACAGATTGGCAGGCGATGCTGTGCGAGGCAATCACAGCATCAGTGCTGTTGCGTTGCGCTGCGTGTTCACTTGACGCAACTGCAGCTGCGAATGCGACTTGCCATGTTTTGCAGTTGGCTTCACCAGCTGCTGGTGCAAGTCACGAGCTGTTGTGGATGCGCTTTGGCGTCGGATTTGACAGTGCCGCCACTTTGCGGATAGTGCGACTTGGCAAGGTGTATGCTGCAAGGTTTTCCAAACGTCGTTGACCTGTTGGCTGGTGCAGTGGCTGTGTTAGTGCTCGGCTACAGCTCTTTCGTCGTGCGCTTAGAGCATGTAGAAACAGAGAGACTGGTGGACGTGACGCTATCGAAAGCGTGGCAGCTTGCCCACATTGCTTCGTTCGCTGCCAATGGACCTGCCGTCTTAAGCAGACATCCAAGCACGGCCGTGCTCGAACACCGCCACGAGAAGACTGCAAAAGAGAGGAACGCATCGTATGCACAATCACACGCCATGTACTGATACAACCCCATCATTCTTCGATCCGCTCCTTCTAACGCGCCATCGCCGTTGCCAGGCACACGCCTAGCGCCTCACACCAATCAGTTGCTGCTGCGAGGCCTGGAACAATTTGCGTTTCGTCTTTGCAAGCTTGTGCATCTCACCAGCGTTTTTACGAAGCACGTCCAGCACAAGAAGCGAGCGACTGGGATCCAAGCCTGCAACCTTTTCGTTCAGTTCGCGTCTGTGTGTCGCCAGCTCTTCGCGCTTCAAGACCAATGCAGATAGCGAAGCTCCGCTGTCACTCGAGAGGGTGGCTGTTGTAGGACTACTGGATGGAGCGGTCGATAGCTGCTGCATTTGCACCGCCTCCTCACGGCGGCGCACGCGCGCAAACGCATCCTCGATGCCGCCCAGCTCCAGCGTCTGCATCCGCATGATCTCCAACAGTGCGTACTCCATGCAGTCCGCATCGTTCTTTGTGTTCAAAGAGATGGCGCTAAAGACATCGGATGCTCGTTCGTCAAATACCCGCGTCTCCATATCGTCATCTTCGTCATCCTGAAACGTTCTTGCATCCTTCGATGCTGCGAGTCGCTCCCGACGGCGCCGTGCATGACCTTGATCCAGCTGGTTCATGTCATGCAGTAGTTCGCACATGCGGTGTAAATGGTGCGACTGCTGCCGCGAGGCCCGGGACAATTGACTTCCTTTTTTCGCGGTCGACTGGTACGACCTGGCCACATCAATGTATTTCCGACGGCGCTCAAGGCACAAGCGACTCGCAGCGTCTTCTTCTTCTTCTGCATCGACGAAACTCCTCGACAACTCGAGCCCTGCGTCAACGGGGAGACCTACTGGACCAGTTTGTAAACCCATACCCGTGAGTGCCGTGCCTGTTGTAGTGACTAGCTTTGCAGCGCTTGAAGTGAGGGCCGATACGGCACTCCATGCACTCCAGCTGCTGCCGTAGGTGCTCAGTCCAGTGTTGCTTGATGCTGACGGAGGACAGCTTGCTCGTGGGGAAGATGAACTTCGGGACTCCGCGTCGTCGCAAGGTGAATATTCGTCTAGAGACAGCAGGTCGTCGCCATCTAGTCCGCCGTAATAGGTCGACGTAGCACGCCTGAGACTTTCAAGCTCTTCCGTCGTCGACAGCAAGAAAGCACGCACTTCTTCTGTCACGGCGAAAGTCGGTTGCCGGAGCACACCGCGCAGAAACGCTTGCAGCAGGCGCATGCGCTCACCGACAAACTCCTTATCTTTGTTGAAGAAAAGCTGCTTTCCTGGCAAGCAGGGTACCAGTCGAAACGGGAACTGACGCTGCAACTCGCGATGCAGCCAGACAAAATCGCTGTATCGGCGATACACCTTGACTGACGAGCTGGGTTCTTCCACTTGACGAAGGCGTGTCCACGTCTTGGCAGCCTGGTACGGATCAATGGATTGGCCGCCCTTCGCCGTATCGCTAGCAATGCAGATCACAGCGTATCTCGTATACGGCAACAACCACGAGCCCACCGTCGTTGGTTCACACACGAGCACGACCAACTTCCCAGGGTCGTGTCGACCAGCGTGCAGCGACAGCTGAGCACGGACACAGTCGACTTGCTGCTGCAGCTGCTCCGCTTTCGACGCCAACTCTTTCGCCACAGCTGCAGCACTCGAAGCATCGTGCTGCATGCGGGCGAGCTGCGCGGCATCAACCTCGAGCTGGCGCTTCAGCGTCTCCGTCTCGGTCTGGAGCACGGCGGCTTGCTGCGATGCTACAAGAGCCCGGTGTCGCGCTTCTTCGGCCAGATCCTGTGCCTCCTTCTTCTCTTGCTCGTTGATCTGCACTTGCTTGGCCAGAAACATGGCACGCTGGGACGCCTGCACACTCTCTCGCTGCGCCGTGCGCGCGTGTTCCTGCGCTTCGCGCGCCAAGAGCTCCTTCTCCTTCACTTGACTCGCCCACTCCTCTTTGAGCCGACACAAGTGGAGCTGCGAACGCACTTCCATCTCCTGACGGGCGCGCACGAGCTCATAGTTCTTCGGCAGCGCTCGGGCGCCGATTGACCGGTTCAAAGGCGTCACGCGGCGACACGTCGGGCACTTAACTGCCGCTTCTGCGTGCAGCGCTTCCGCCGGCTGCTCCCCAGCTACGGCCCAGCCATCCAAGCAGCTCTAGCGAATCAGAATGCACAGCGGTAGGGCTAGTTAGAAACGAGCGAAACGGGTCACGTCGCCACGGCCGCGCGGTTCTACCTGGCAGTACGTGTGGCCGCAGATCAAGAGACGCGGAATGTGGCCCGCGCTGTCGTCGTCGTCGTCGTACGGCTCGTTGCACAGCTCGCACTCGACGCTGTTGTCCGCGAGCTCGCGCCACAGGGCCGTCGTGCGCTCGTCCACTTCGGCTGGGGCCGTTTCTATCGCGGGGGTCGCGGGCATTTCTATCCGAGGCCCGAATGGAAAATAAGAAGCGGTGGTGGAATAGTCAGGCGTGACGGTAGGGGTAGGTTGTGTCTGGTTTTTAAGGTGCGAATACATCAATTTAGACGCCCCCAATCGCTGTTCTTCGAGTCGGAAATGTCTGTTTGTTGGCTGACGAAACCTCTGCAGCGCGTCACGCGGAAAGTCTCCAAGTCGGTAGATGTTTGTTGTTGTTGTTGTTGTTTTGGCTGAGAGCTTGCGAGCTTTAATGGACAGTAACGAATCGAAGCTAAGACGAATGACCAAACTTTGGGGTCAACATGGCCAATACGAAGCGCGATCGTTGCACTGCGATCGGTCCAGAAGGATACGATTGCTAAATGGAGGACAGCCCCAGCACCCCGAGGTATGCAACATCGAGCGCTAGGATACGCATGCAGCGTTGGCGTATTCTGTGGCTTCTTCGTGCTCTCAGTTTATACCCATTTTTGTCTTTACGAGGCACGAACAAGTACTGGGCCCGGGCGGATTGTCAAGAGGATGTATCTCTACGCATCATCCCAGCTGAGTTGAATCACTTGGCGAACTGTTGTGCGTGTTTATTCGTGGAATCTGAACTGGACAAAGATTGTGTGAGTCAACGTATTACTACTGGCGCCGCGATCCGTTTTTTATAGCGGGTAGTTGTAGCAGAAGCTGTCGTGAGACAAAGTAGAAAAAGATGGCCAAAATGTACAAACGCGAGCGTGCAACTTCAGCGTAGTCGGAAATCGTCATGCACAGCTTCAACTCGGTAAGAGCGACCATCATCCACGTGGACGCGACGTGAAAGGGAGCTTTTCAGAGTCGACAATATGCAACAACTTCGTCACGAATGACTGGTACATTGTAGACGAGGGAGATATGACGAGTGAAACAACTCATCTGAATCGGCGATGGAGTGGAAATATGTGTGCAAGATGTAAGTGTCCGTGTTGACAGCTCTTGCTCCGTCGAAGATAGGAGGGTGGCAAAATCGAAGAGAAGATGGGTTGTTCGCGCTGTGATCTCGGGTAGGCGGGTAACCCTCATTCACTCATAGGGTCGCGAAGAATGATATGACGTCTCAGGGTAAGACACGTTCTTTGTTCACTGACGAAGAATGAAGAAGACAAAACGAGTTCTGAAGTTGACCCAGAAAAACACTCATCAGACCAAGGTAGCAGTAGTGGCCGATAGGCTGATCTAACTCGTGGGTTGCTATTAATTAAGTGATGCTGCTCTTTCCAGCGGCGGGATGCCAATGCAACAACAAGCCTGTCAGGCCGACGCCAGGTACGTGCGAGGATTGATAAGGTGACGTCAACATGTTGAAGTGGGGACACGAATGGACAGAAGTGCTCGTATGTGAGACAAAGCAAAAGTGAACGTGCCAAAGACGCAGACATGGTGTTTGAGGAGGATAGTACCGGCAGAGGCGCTTGGCGTGGTATAGATGCTTATGTGAATGTGGGTTAGTAAGTCTTTCCTTGCCGAGCACTTCATGTGCGAATCAGTTCTAGTCCAAGTAACGAATTGAGCGCCGTGTTCTGTAGACTCTCATGCAATACTACCCAGACAAGCGTCGCGGGCGGCAGAGACTCCCTAGGCGAGGTATTGTGTAGCGGTCAAATGGGTAGCGTAGATAGAAAGGAAGGTTGTGGGTAGTTTGACTGACCAACAAGACCTGACGACTCCCCTTATCATCTGTCTGCTGCATGGGTTCCGACGATACCGAGAGGGAGATCAGGTGCTCAAAACTGAACATTTGCCAGCTCGGCCGAATCGCAACGTATGATTGTCCATCAATCCTAGCTTTATGACTTCCGATGACGTATCCAACCATGCATCTATACGATGGATAAAGCCAGCAACTTGCAAGCCGGTCGGTGTGGCCATTCGCACTGGGCCGAGCGAGGCACCTCAAGGACGCTACTGACGGCACTCGGAAAAGACCTGAAAAAAGTGAAGCCGTCTCAGTGAACTGTGCTTGCATTGTGATTGCTTACGATTCCACCAGACGACGAGGACAGGCTTAGCTCGGTAAGATAGATACACAGGATTCGACTTGCGCTCGTACTAAACTCGAAGAGCACAGTTTGGTAGTAGAGAGGAGGCTCTGGCAGTCAAAAGCCCGAGCGCCTCTTTCTCGGCTACAAACATGACGACATACTGAACTTGATCACCCGACGCTGTGCATGGTGCGAGGGTGTACAGGCTATCAGCTCACTGGCATAAATGGAGTAATTAGGAAAGGCAAGCAGCACGATTAAGTGGGCATAAGCTGCAGGAGCGATTCCTGGTGCAAAGGATAGTAGTGATGCCCTGCAAATGTACGGCTTGAATGGGATGTCTCGATACCAGAAGTACGTCGCAAGACTCGGCGAGAAAACTGCCGAACTGACCATCGGGATCGTCAAGATCTTCAGGTACACCGCAACGACACACAGCAAGACGCACATAGCCGCCACGACACCTGAGTCTTTTTCGACGGCCGACAATTTGTGGGAGAGCCCAGACGAGCATGAAAGCCATCGCATCAAATGTGTGCGACTTTATAGCGATGGCAACGGATACGACTGGACGAGCGTTTATCAGTTCGAAGTTTGGCTATGTACCGTGGCGAAGTGGACAACGATGTCCGAAATATGTGCTGCCGCATCGCGTACTTGCAAGTGGCGGATGAGAGCATTGGTAATACATACATACAATTGAGTAGTCGGATACGCTCGAATGAGCAAAGATGCCATGCTTTTGCTGGTTGGATTCCAGAAATTTTACACTAGCTCAGAATATCGCGCATGGCAGCATAAAATGTGTTGGACACAGTGCTGCCAATTCTGTACAACCTAACGACAATTGAAGATAAATGGATGAGCCTCGACGACTTAAGTCTCACCACTTGCCACATGCGTAACATGTCAAGAGCTACCGTCACAGCATACATATCATTGTGACGCTCCAATGGTATCATCGAGATCAATTTACTATCTTATTGAGGAAGCTGAACATGAGTCTTGGTCAATCCAGACGAGGAAGCAAGATCTTCGTCATGGTGCTTTACCATCAACTCTCTTCGTTCTACTAACTTTATTACTACAGAACAATCTTTACTCTTGTCGAAGGTAGGTACATTGAGATACTTCTGGAGATCTCTAATGACCAAAGAGAACATTCTTCAGGCACCCCGCTGCTCGAGCTAGCTATTCTTTTTCCCGGCGTAGTCGAGTTAATATTGTATGATCTTTGGAGCGCGTGTTACGTACTTCGTCAAGCAATGCTCTTGCATGGGTCCAGCAGAGATACACTGCTGGACATGCGTTGTTCCGCCAGTTATTTGTATTCACGCAAACGTCAGTAAAATCTTATCGAGGATTATAGTCGTTAATTGCTTGCAGGTTCGTTGCGAAACGCTAGACGAAACGTGACTGCGCAATCCGCACACTGATTGCAGCGTGGCTGATGGCAGCTTGAATCTGAAAAACATCATGGAGCGCAGTGAGTGCACAGCGAAATCGGACATTGTATACTATGCGTGGCACGCATTATAGTTAGATTCTGCATTACCTGCTTTTGGAAACGATGTAGCCAACAAGCACACCACAGATCGATAGTGACACGCGCCGGGTCACTTAAGCCAAGAGGCCAGGTAAATGAAACCAATTCATGGTTGAAGCTGCAGTCAATTGTAACACACATACTATCGTGATAAACTAACCACCCTTCCACGACGCTTTCACCTCGAGCAAAAAGAATTGCCGAGCGGATTCGCGCATGTCGCAGATACTGGTACCCGTGAGGAGGTGTCACAGGACCAAACAGACAATTTACATATTGGAAGCGAAGTCTCACCTCTTATCCGTTTTAGGCAGGGGATACGAATTTCGTAGTTACAACAGACAAAACGAAACAAATTCACAATTCTCATGTCGCTGACGCAAAAGGCTTATCGAGGAAAGCACGAAGGTCTATCGAAATCGCTGAAAAGGACGGCCATTCATTCTACTCTGTGTCTTTGTGCCTCTGGTCAAGTTGGCGTTGAGTCACGAAGGATCTTTGATACGAAATGAGGAGGTAAGTGAATGGATCGCTAACGAGTGTGGAAGCATTCCAATGACAGCTGCGAAGCGCTATCGGATGCTTGAATGGCGTCTGGATGGCGGTTTGCAAGTGGTGGCGAGACCGCAGAGCGATCCAACAAGCTTTCTATAGCGCCAAATCGTGTCGATGGAGGTAACGAACGGACAGTCTTTGGTGACTTGGAAGATGTCCTGTTCGATGTCCTTTCCATGCGTGGAAGAAGAGCGACACTCTCAAGGGCCTTTGCAGCAGTTCACACAACACAGCAAGAGATCGAAGGCCCAATTTGCAGCAAGAATTGTGTGGACATTGCTGCTTCTGCGAATATACTTGGCTGGCGTGCAGGAACTGTGCTGAGATCGATGGGAAACGGGACGAAGTCTCCGAGTTGCACGACTCTATCGTACATAGAACTGCAATTAGCTTGATTGCGCTTACAGACCGTGTACAGCGATGCGCGCGAATACGCAACAACACAAGCGAAACTTACGGTTATTTGATTTGCTTCTGTCAACAGTCGCTCTTCACTATCTAAGTCGAGCAGCACCTCCGGCGTCCGATACTGGGCACCTGGATGCGAAAAGATGGGCACGCCAGCGCTTTCATCACCTCGATTCGGTGATATCCGTCACAATGATACTGACAAACAGATACATGTGATTAAAACGCATGACGTTTTTACAAAGCTAAACTTGGCAGTAAAGAAGCGCGGATGAAATGGTCAGGCCTTCGAGTAGATGATACAGCGACTTTTGGTAAACTTTGCCGTGGGATAGGGATAACTAGGCACGTGAGGTCGGAATGCATCAGGGATGTAGACGTCCACGCAGCCGCATGATCCACGTTTTTTCGTGTCCTCCACGAAGCAAAAAACCAGGAGAGACGCATCGCGATTGTTGTGGTGTTGACGAATACAGTCATACGGCCGACGTGGTACCATGAGCAATAGATCCAGCAGGTGACGAAGACCGAATTTGTCGAGCATGTTGAACGTCGTCATGCTGCAATACGGCATCAAATGCAGCGGTCATATGGTGAGCGGAGACACAGTAATGCTGAAAGCACATCTGGGGTACTTGCGGCGTCCAGAATGTGATAGATATCTCCTGTCGTAGCGCAGACAACAACTTACCTGGTCTCATCGCTGAACTCGGACGGCAATCAGTGATCGATCAAAGCTGCGAACAAGCAGAGCAAAGGTTGAAAAGCCTTGACGAGAAAGGATGGAGATACACAGTCTAGAAGCAGCGAAAGAGCGTCGAGCAGGACGTTTCGATGCATCATTTGGTACTTTAATCATCATTCATATGTACACTGTAGGTGTTTGGTCCTGTGCCGATTCCCAACATGATCCCAGTAGTATCTGCGGGTTTCTGCTCGATGATTCTGCTTGCTGAGGCGACCGTGTCATGGAACGTGGCTAGTGAGACGCGTAAATTATGAAAGCGTGTGCGTGTCGAAAAAGGGCGAGCTCTATGAGGGCAAAGTGTATATCCAGTAAACGTGCAGCGTGTCCGTAGACGCTCCACGTCGCACATCTGGAAAGACACACCCTATCAGCAGCTCGCCGTCCGAACCCGACATGCGGCTTCAACAAACAGACACATCCATTGGCAACTACATTCACTGCAAAGGCACTACTACCTGCGATGGCAAACGGACACTTTTATCCTGTAAGCGCTGTCTGTCGTGCAGCTCCTTGTGCTGCGTGCGACCCACGAGACATTCGAGATAAAAACCAACACAGCTGCGAGTCGCGTCGAGCACGTGGCACCGGACTTGTTCAGCTGCCACGTCTGTCCACCCTGTCGTCTTCTTCTGCCCGCCCTCCTTACTTCTTGACATCGAGCTTGAGGTAGTCGTTGTCAAAGTGGTGCAGTCGCACGTATCCGTCCTCCGCTCCAGACGCGTAGCTCTTGCCATTCGGGTGGAAAGCAATCGTGTTGATCGGTCCAAAGTGGCCTTTCACACGTCCAAACTCCTCTTGGAAAACCATGTGGAAGAAACGAGCTTCAAACTTGCCAACACGACCCGATGTCGTCGTGACACTGATAGCTTCTTGTCCGCCACCGAGCACCACGTGCTCTTTGATGGGCGAAATGGCGGCCGAGTTCACGGGACGGTCCGTCTCGTACACCTTGAGCACCTTCATCGTCTCGACGTCGAGCAGCTTGGCCGTGTTATCCTTTGACGACGTAATCGCGAGCGTCTTGGACTTGTTAAACGTCAAGTTCGTGATCTCGCCCACGTGGATGTCGTGGCTCTCAAGCAGTGCACCCGTCTTGGGGTCAAACAGCTTCACAGTGCCGTCTCCCCCCGTGGTCAAGATCGCCTTGTTCAGCGGCATCCAGTACGCCCCCGTGATACGGCCTTCGTGGCCGTGATCCGTGATCGTCAGCACAGGCTCTGCGCTCTGCTGGCTCACGTCATCGGCCAGCTCATAGACATACACAGCTGCTGGACGGTCCGAGAACTTGTCGGCCACCGACACAAAGTAGCGGTCGCCTGTGCTGAACTGGACGCTGCGCGCTGGACCCGAGTGGGGGAACGAGAAGAGCTCGTCGCCGGTCTGGACGTCCCAGAGCTTGACACTCGCGTCGGCTGCAGCGGTCAAGAGCCGCTCCGAGTGGTAGCTCACGTCACAGGCCCAGACCGCCCCCGAGTGGCCCACGTACGTGCCCAGGCGCTCGCCCGTGTCACTGTACCAGAGATTCGGCGTGTGGTCCTTGGCACAGGAAAAGAGCAAATCGCCCTCCCGGTTGTACTTGATCATCGTGAGTGACCGGGAGTGGCCCTTGAGGAGGATCGGACGCATGACGTGTAGGCAGTGAGAGAGGGGGAGAGGCAGCGGGGGATCAGGAGAGAGAGAGAGAGAGAGAGAGAGAGAGGCAGCAGACGTGCGAGGAAGAGGTCGAAGATGTCTTGGCGACCTGCTGGCCAGTCGCGGGTGGATGTGGTGTGGTGCACCTCACGAGCGACGAGCTCTCGCGCTTGTCAGAGTGTAGCCATCCGGTTGGGTGCTGTGTTTGAGAGGACCAGAACGAGGGTCGTTTTTGATCGGGTTTCTTTGGTCTTCGTGCGAATTGCACGGACAGTCGTACATTATGTTTGAGATCGTCCAAAAGCGATGTTCGTGAGGCGATGATAGAGATCGTGGGCTGCTTGTGTTGTACGAGTGGTTTAATGCGATACGTTACCATAGCTCGCCTTGAACTTGTGCACCTGCTGTGTAGTGACTGACGTCTAGCTCTTCGAGTGGTGGACCTTTCGAATCAATAAGGAGCCCGTGACTTGGTGTTGTCACTTGCGCTATGGTCTTGTCTCGACGGCAAAGTCGAGAGCTCGATAAGCCGTGAGACGCGGGAGGCTGAAACAAAGCGCATTGTGCGTTATATCGAGTAGCGTATTGAGCTCTTGGTCCGTGTTTACGGAGCCATAGCTTGTTCATCGACTTTGCCTAACGTGGTCATTGCGACCTGCTTCACAGTGTACGGTTCAGTTCCGCAACATTGTTCTACTTCGTTGCAGTCGGTCATTGCAATGCAGCGCTAGCTTCCTTTCGATGCTGTCGGTGTTGGCTTGCACCTCGCATTCCGCTGTTTCTGAACGACCATTTGGCTGGCTTCTTGTGGTGTCACAGCGTCGTGTGGTCTTTGCGAGAAACTTTGGAGAACCTACAAGAAGCTTGGCTTTTACCTCGTGCAAGCGGTTCGATCAAGCTGGTATGCCGACCCGATCGATGAGTGCAAGCAGGTTGCTGTTCGGTCAATCCAGTACTTGGCGTACATGCCAGGTACAAGTCAAGATGGCCGGTGGGACTGCCTGAAGCGTTGGTGAGTACCTTTATGCCATTACAACGCGTTTCTACTGACCCCTGAATGCATCCTGGCTCGGTCGTCGGTCACACGTGCCTCTAACGGGATACCGCATCCCGGGACGCCCGATGTTTTGCCCCCCCCCCCCCCCCCCCAAGGCCAGCAGAATAAATCAGAAAGGAGGAGAACAATGCGGTCTCTCCAGAAGACCCGACCAAGCGTCTGCAGAGTTATCTCTACACAGACGTAAGCACACAAACGACAGTCGTAATAACAACAAAGAGCTGTCCTGTGTGTCGCTTGTTTATGTAGACAGCGCAAAAGACAGACCTTTCTCCAGAACGTCTTCGTGCTTCGTGCCCTACATTAACACGACTGTATGTATCAGTGTTGGAGTGGTTTTCGCGGGCGGGGAGGGGTGTGGTTTGACGGACTTTCCCAGCTTTCGACGGTGTCGGATCAGAAGATGGTCTTGTCATTGTCAGCATACGCGGGTCTTCGTAAAACCATTTGTAGCCCACTTCCTGCCTCTTTGCGTACGCATGGCCTTCTGCGAGAAGGAAGCAGTTTGGTCGGCACGTGTCGAGATGCTATCTGCATTTTTAAACGTACCGGACGATATCGTGCAAGTATAGACGGTTCTCTCGTATATTCTCACGCAATTGATCCGCCACACACAATGATTCTCGATAATGAAAGACAAGAGACTTGCATGCTTGGACACTGGCTGGATCTCACACCTCGTCAGACCCAGCTCACGCATGCGGTAGCACATCGCAAAGTAAGATAGCAACCCAAGTCGACCGACTCTGCTTCTCGCTACTAGTCGTGCTTACATAGATGCGATTTGCTGATATGACAGCAAGGGCTGCGGCTTAAATTTTGTAGCTTTCTGCGGACGAGCACCTTTCGGTCCGACAGGCAAACTGCATAGACATAGATCACGCTCTACACAGTACGCTCAAAAGCTACTAACGAAGCCTGAAAAGTTGCTCAGTACCGTCAGCCTTTGCAGTTCGTGATCATGGCGCTGTGTCGAGATCACAAAAAGCTCCTCAGAAGGACCGACAGTAGATTTCATTGTTTGCAGCTCGCCGAGCCCGTCGTACAGTCATGCTTAGTAATTAAGAGCCATTATAAACTGCAGCTACGACAGCTAACCGCCCTGTACACGATCGGAGATTTGAGGAGTACGCGGCATGGTGTAAAAATTTCGGCTTCCAGCAAACAAGGAGCAGCGCCGATAAGAGCCGCGAAGTATGGACTAATGCCAGAACTTACGTCGATAGCCCTGCGCTGTAAATCAGATGGACTTAGGTCTGTGCCCTATCGCATATCGCACCTACTCATCGATGACCGGCTGAACACCCCCCACCACGCGCTTTGATATCATCGCAGTCGCGGCCATTTTCGCCCATCTCAAGATTTCTACCAGAGTATGTGGTCTCCCGATCACGGCTATCGACGACCTGGAACCCATTAACTCCTTCCACGACGCCGTTTTCGCACAAAATAGCGTCATGAATCTTGGCAGGAAAAACAGCGAAGAGCGGGTGTTTGTCGCATTTGACAACTCGATTGGAAAAGTCAAGATATCCTGAGCACCATCGTTATGGCCTAGCTGTGGCGACTGTTTGCGCTCAACAAGCACAAATGATGGCGTAGATACAACGTGCTTGTAAAGCCATTTAATCGAGTTCTTCTGGATCGCTTTTTGGCAAGTGTAGTTTCTTATACGGTACGAGTCCAAGTACGGAGTCGGCGCTGTGACAAACGTGCCTATCGAACTGATGGAACATACAAGTGATATACTGGCAGTCATTCAACTTACCTGCTTAAATTAGTCTCGAAGCGGTGCAAGGAGAAAGAAATGTCAGCTTTCCGTGCTCGCTCGACTTTGAAGATATTACACCCTGCTTGTACTTTTTTATATAAACCCGAATCTCAATCGATCAAGGCACTACAGCCAGATATAGACTGCTAACACTGGTGGGAGGAGACCGGCCCTACGCTGAATCAGGCCGCTGACGAAGAGCCATGAAGAAGCAAAAGTTTCGGGGGCTTTAGAATCATCGATCAAGAAAATTGCTTTTCCGATGCAAGAATATAGAGTCATAAAATGACAGAAATCTAGGTGGGGGCGCTTACTGACGATGTGTATACAATGCTGGGACTTGACAAAATGGATTTCAGGCATTTTTACAACATTGAGTTATAAGCAACATAATATCGTGCGATGGTGTGCAGGAAGAATATTGCGAACATTTTGACGGGATGTCTCGGGGTAAAGATGGACTCGCAGTGCTTGTTGCTAGCTATCTATGCACTATGCATAGATAATTGAAGTCGAAGCGTGTCTGGAACGCGTTGTTTCAGCGCTGAAAAAGGTAGTTATAGAGCTAGACAAACTGAAGGATTTTTGTTCTCGAGCAAATACCTATCCGGTACTTGATAGGATGGGTGTCATTAATTGACGTCGTTGCAAGCTCTGCGGCAGACACTGTCAGTATGTGCCGAGTGAGAAGATGCTTTGCAATTAAACATTGACGCGCGAAAGGGATCGATTTCACCCGCTGTAGCGTCTTGAGTTCGTTAGCGTCAGGCCTCTGTAGTTCATGCGCTGACAAAAGACTTGTATTTGCGCTTACCGATTCATCATCGCACTCTAGGCAGCCGCTACGTATCTCATTTCGCACTCACTTTTCTTCCTCTTCTGTGATGACGGCAGTTGAAAAGGCGACCACACGTGGCGGACGCGACATTTTACCTTACTCTTCATCACGCATTTGTCTCACCTAACAGTGCTATGATTTGCCGTCATCGACATCTGTGCGCCAATCACGTTGTATTCTGTGCTAACATACATACCGCATCAGTCACGATCGGAATACTGCACAACAAAGAAAAGGGTCACATACTCTTCGTGAGCGAGTGGTGCGAATTCGTGATCTTGCCGGTCACTCTATAGTGGCTGCAATAAGATAGACAGATGTATGTGAGTCACGAACGTCTACGATGCAGTTTCAGTTGTGTTGGGTAATAAAGACTGCCGACAAGATAAACGAAGACAAACAAGTATAACACGAAATGCTACAAGAAGAGCAACAGTGGAAGATGTGCAAGATGAAAATACATATTGCGAGGTTGATACATACAAGAACGAAACCGACGATATGCACGGCAAGTCAGAATTAACACATGCTCGGGATCGTGGCAAACTTTGGTTATTGTTGTTCTTCATGTATAATTGTCGTAATCTGCACCTCTCTTTTGGCACTTCCCGCGTCGACACCACTGTCAGGTTTTACAACTCCATTGTTCATCCGGAGGATTATTGTAAAGCAATGGCCCATTTGCTGTTCATTGCGATCCTTCCACGACGCAATTACCGCTACACTGTGCGAATACAGAAAGACCGACTATGCTGTGAATGCAGCATACTGATCGGATACCGTGCTCGATGTTCGATCCAGTCGTAAAGCGAAAGGTCCCTTCGAGTCATCTGTCACGTTGTGGGACTGTATCATTTTTACGAATGCTGACGCTCAGACACAAATCGACGAGCCTATGTTGATGACCTACCATCCGCTTTATTTAGTGGTCACAACAAACATTGTTGATTTCGTGCATTCAGCATCAGCGATAGAAAGCAGCGACAAGCAGACTAGCATCTTTGGTCGAACACAAGAGGTACTTTTTCGTAAAAAGTAACATTGATGCAGTAAATGAGCTCAACCGAAAAGGCGGCCATCCCATTCGTGTGGTATCAAGTTATGGACGGTATAGAAAAGTAGTGTACACAGCATGGATATTTTAGTTGTGCTGCTACCCTTTTCGCCAACGTCCGATCTTCAACGAAGTATCGGTGCACTCCTGTTAAGCATTCGAACTGTATGAGGGGTATGTGGTGTAGGGAATTTCGAACGTGATATTTCCTACTTTCCACTTGATTATAGGAGTGACTAACCCGAACGAGGGAAGCCAGAGCACATCGAGATCC